TTTTCTTTCACCTAAATTCAGTGTTTATTTCTCAGGCCTCCTCTCTACTGACCTACCGTGAGAGGAGGAGGGCTTTCGAAATCCTTAGCTTCTGCACCATGTCGCAACAGAGAGCAACTTAACCTTCTAAGAACACAGAATCTAATTCTTTGCAACATTTTATCTCTGTGGCTTCAAGTATCACCTCCATGCAGATTAAACCCAGAATCCATTTCAAAAGAACTCACATTGCCAACAGTATTCTGCTGAATATTCCTCTGCAGCTTGAACCCTACAAGTCAAAAAGCTAACAAGGCTGTCCAACAGAACCAGTTACTTCTTCCTGGCTTTGCAATGTCTGGACTGGCATCACCATGCTACAGGTCACCTACTCTCCAAACCTGTTCAGCAGGCCTGTCCTTTGCCCCTTACCACCCATGCCTAACCCACTGCCTGGCACATCACACCTACGAGCAGGTGAATGAATCAATGAATGTTGGACCCAGTCAGCTATCATTATGACAAATTCTATCCCAAAATATTGTCTCCTTTTTTTCTCTATTAGCATTTCACAGATACAAGCCAGACTCCATTATAACCTTACCCTTATTTTTCAACTCCTGTCTCAGTTTCCTATTTCATCACAAACATTACAACACTGAATCTCCTTAATGACAGGTATAATCCTACCACCTCTCTACTCAAACACCATTAGTTCCTCCATCCCCCACTGAGCTCAGCACCAAGTTTTTCCACTGAAGGACCAAGTCCCTCCCAATGTAAGCCCCAGGCTCTCTCTACTGTATTCAGTCATTCAGTGTTTAACACACACAGTGTCAAGCTGGGGATGAAACTATCTGTAAAGCAGTGCCAGCTCTCAAGGCACGTGATCTGCAAGGACACACACAGTAAAGAAGGAACACGACATGACGTGCAGATGCTCTGAGATGAGTGGATACAGAGTGCCGTGAGAATGGGGAGAGAGGGGAGGCATGGGGAATGGGGAACAGGACACCCCACAGCTCAACCACCACCTCCTTGGAAGAGTCAGTAGATTCAGCCAGATTGACAAACTGCAGGAAAGGCCATGCGGTTAGAAATGGCAGCGATTCCAATTTGGGGGGTAAAAGGCAACGATGGATCAAAACATGTTTATTTAACTATAGATTCGGGAAAATCATCTATTATCATCAAACACAACTCAAACACCACATCTAGTAGAATGTCTGATTATAAAATAAGGAGATAAATTACATACACACATACACACACACCCGCTAGGAACTGCTATATTCAGATCAATCCCATCTTTTGAATATATGATCTTGAGACATTTATTTCAGACATAAGTCTGGAAACTCTCACTTTATGTCTAAATTGGAACACCTGACGATCTTGAGCACACACCTTACCACCAGATTTTTTTTTTTGGCCACATAAATTTTCCAAAAACAAAATCTACACTCCTCAAAGGACAGTTGCACAATAATGCCAATACTGCTCCACAACAAGGTGGGTACAAGGATTTTCACTGCATCGTGGCTTAAAATGGTAAAAATTGAAAAACACCCCAAATGTCTATCCATAGGAGAATGACTCAACAATGTGAAGGCGGCTGTGAGGACAGACACCAAAATGTTGACTGTGATTAACTCTGAAGAAGGGAGGAGGACTAGTGAATGTGGGAAATAAAATTCTGGAAACCCTGGAATCTTTTCAACAAGAATATAATCATACAACTAATACAAGAATACAAACCAAAAATATAAATGTGCTAACAGATTCCAGATTCAATTTTTTAAAAATTCAACAATGTTTTTAGCAACACCAACAACACTGGATGAAATATATACTCTCTCAACATGACTACTATGAAAAGAATGCTTTCATTAACATGTACAGAATATTATTTTTGTCAAGTTTTTTAAAATGTCAAATTGCATCTTCCAATTTGCAACCATTAGTGTTCCAGAACTGCGTTCCATGGGAAAACATGGAGCCCTCATTACCACTGCTGTCAACATTCCTTTAAATATGGCAATTCCTTAGCCGAGGCAAAGATCTAGAAATGCAACCCCAGACAGAGCTCTGAATGCAGGAACGGGCAAGCAGAGTCCACTTCTGACCTTAGTTAACAACACAGCAGAATAAGAAAAACCAAAGGAGAATTTTAAAATGCCTATTCCTGGGCTGCTTCAGAGTTCCAAGTCCAAAAACAGTCCTGCAACAGTCCAAAAACAGAGTTCCAAGCCCAACTAATTTTTTAGTTGAAAGCCTTTTGTAGGCCAGTAGAAGGTATGTTCTACCATGTAACGATGTCCTTCTCACTGCAATAAAAGAATATTTCTTTCTACAACTGGTCAATAGGAAATAAAAGGAAAAAAAGAGTCAAAAAAACAATGAAGCAACTTCTGGCATTGTTTAAAAAAAAACAGACTGAAATAATGGAAAACTTCAACACTAAGAACTGCTTTCTAGTCTACATCAAAATTTTAGATTTTCATATGTTATGTCATCATGTGAAATAATACAAAAGTCATCTAAGTGAAGCGTCTGTTCTGCTGTATATTAAAAATTAAGGAGGATAGCATGACCATCACTCAACACAATATAATTTCTCTTGGAAAGAACTGAATGGAAATGCATATACTTGAGACATTATTCTAAAGATCAGGGAAAGAAAAGGCAGATAAAATGTCAATGTTTGGTCAACCACAATGTTTTCAGTTCTCTTCTAGAATTTCAGTCACTCACCAAATCCCAAGTAAGTCGAAACGCAAAGCAGCTAACAGAAAGAATTTCAGACCCTTTAATTACCTGTTCAAGGAATGTATTTTTATTTTGTCCATTGTCTTCTCTACTTTCACATCCTTTCCATACTCTCATGAACGTTAATTTAGAAAGGGAAATATCACTGAAATATTGAAAACCGAAAAATATCTGTGATCTTCCACCAACTGCCAATGGTGGTTGCATCTTGGGGAATTGGGCTATGAAAAAATTCATTAGCTACGGAGGTCTATAGTTTTAACAGTTAATATTTAAGTATTCCTCTGAAATCAGAAAAACATTCTAATACCTCCGTTACAGACTGTATGAAAAACTCAGGATCACTAAGAAAGAACTCATGATAATGGACACATGCCAAATATTAAGCCAGCATGGACAGCCTCAACTTTTAGCAACACTCCAAGGGTAAATATAATTCCCCTTTATTATCCAGAATACAGAAATGTCAGCTGCATTCAATGACCAATGTCATACTATATAATGAAATCACCAGAAATTCTTACCTGATTTGTCCATTCTATCTGATGTCAGTTTACAGCATCACAATGCGTGAAGTGACTTAGGCATTTAAAGACAAACGAACATAAATACCCTCTTTCTTTACTTTGGATTCCGGAGATCAGGTAATCTCATTCACCTACGTCTCAAACGAGGAAACTGCAGCGTAGAGGTGATGTAACTTGCCCAAGTGTCACAGTGTCAAGCACCAGAACATAAAATCTTCAAAATTCCAACTCTTCCAGCTTCACCCAAGGATACTACACTTGCATCTCTGTCTGAGCATCTGTGAGTATGTACACGCGAAGAATCTCAAATGGCACAGGCAGCTTCCATTCTTAAGGAATCAGTCTTTTAGTTGGACTTCAGAGATACGTAACGTGAAAAGCAAACCACTTTCTAATTTTTACTATTATTTAAGTAGAAAAGAGAGGTATTTGGAAAGAAAGGGATTTTTAACTCGGCCCAGAAATACAGGTACCATTTTAGACGGACAGGGAGGAAAAGGCAGATCATTCCAGGATAGAATATAACTAGGAGCCTCATTCACATGTTCAGTTCAGCAGAGACACCACACTTGGGGCCCTGACCTATCAGAGCAGATGTCAGTCTTAATCTATTGCTCACCCAGTTGCTTACCGATTCTATATATGACATAAACAAAACATGCAGGGGCAAAAATAAGCAAGTTAGAGTCAAGGAGCAGTAACAAACAAACTAGCCCAGCTGGGGGGCGGGGGGGGGCACAGTTAACACTAAAGAAAATAGGAGACAAACTTAGACATTTATTAATATGAATGAAAGTGTTAGATCTTTATAAGACTTTCAGCTTGAAAAAAATTTTTTTGAAGATTCACCTCATTTGATCATCACCTAACTCAGAAGCTGGGCATTACAATCCTCCCACGTTGCAGAAAAGGAAACCAGAACAAGTGATGGGACTTGGTCAGCAACGAGATGGAACCAAGAAGCCCATCTGCTGACCATAGGCGGTCATATGGTACATTAGAAAGTGCTTTTTATGTCAAGACTTCAGACTTTATTTTAAAGGTAAAGAGTTTTCAACTAAGAAGTCTGTTCTAAAAACATTCATCTGGAAGACAAGTGCAAGAGAACTTGATGAACCACGGAATGACTGAAGAGGGAAGACCCTTAAGAGACTGCGGAAACAACGTGACCCCAAAATGACAAGGCCTGGTTGAGGATGACAATGGGGCCTGTGTCTGATTATGATAGTGTGACAAGAGATGTATCTGTCTGGCCTTTGTCCTGGGTCCTGGCACAGAGCTTCCAGGACCCTTGGAATTTCCAAACGGACCCAGGTGACAGGAGTATTTTTTGATATTCATAGCAAGCCCCTCTCAGCCACACCTGAATTTACCTTAAAGGTGGGGGTTGGAACTAACCCTGTGATTAGAGGGTTGGAACTTTCAGCCCCACCCAGCTCTCCCACCCCACCCATCCCCTACCTTGAGGGAAGACAGAGGGACTGGAGATGGAGTCCAATTAATGATGACCAATGATTTAATGAATCATGCCTATATAATGGAACCTCCATTAAAAACCCTAAATGAGGAAATTCGGAGAGCTCCTGGTTGGTGAATGTGCCAGGAAGGTGGCACACCCCAGCTCCATGGGTACAGAAGCTTCTTCCACAGGATCTTTCCAAACCTCACCCTGTGTACTACTTCATCTGGCTGTCCTTCCATATTCTTTATTATAGCCCTTATAATAGACCAATAAACATAAGCAGGCATTTCCCTGAATTCTGTGAGCTTACAGCAACCTGAGGAGGGGGTGTGGGACCCCAGTGTATAGCCAGTTGGTCAGAAATACAGGGGACAACCTGGGACTTGTAACTTGTATCTAAATGGGGGGTGGTCGTCTTGTGGAGCTGAATCCTTAACCTGTGGAGTTGAGCTAGCTCCAGGTAGTTAATGTCAGAATTGCTTAATGTAAGGTGAAAACCCACATGTGTGGTGTCAGAAGTATTGTGGGTGGTGATCCAGTCTTGGTGGTGATGTGGCATCTGCTCATGACCATTCAGGGGCTTTCTCTCTTCAATTAGCCCTCAGTAGAGTTCCTGCCCCACCCAGAAGACACCACATAGCCTTGAAAGAGAAAGAGAACCAGAATGCCCAGATCCTGTCTTTCCTCCTGGGACCTGTACCACATTTCAGAATGGTTTGAACAGGCTGTTAATCCAGCCCCTGTCCACCGTACTACTTTCATGGCCCTTCCAGGAACATGGTGGCCCTGTGATTCAGGCAACAGAATGAGAGAGAGCTCATTCAGGAAGAAGTTATTCACTGGTTGGAGATGTAATGGGGGAAGTGGGAAAGTCAAAGCTGACCTTCAAGTCCTGGTCTGATGGCTAGAAGAATGGTGGTACCCCCAACAGAACAGGGAAGGTGCAGGAAGGATGAGGGGACTGCCCTGTACTTGAGAGTACAAAAACATACACATAAAAATGTCCAGGGGCTCCAGGCAAAGGGGGTGAATTGAATGCAAGCATCATATCTAGATCTCTCTCTCTCTTAAAGCCCCACTAAAACTATAGCAAAAAAAAAAAATTAAGAAGATGAAGAGAGTGGGAAAGAGGTGATGAGAAAACTTTGGAAGCTGGAATACAGAAGGTTGAGCAGTACCAGATACCAGACTGGAGACCTGATAAGGCCAATCCTGAAGCCACTTGGGGGGAAGTTATGGGCCCATGCTGTTTTCTCCCAGCTCAGGCACTGGTCCTCAGAAGCCCTGCTGAAAGCAAAGGCGAACTGATTTTCCTGGGAAGTGGGAACAGCTAAGACAAGGACTGGTTGAAAATGGCTTAAGCAGTCTAAACCTGACATTCCACCATCCAAGCTACTAGTGGCCACCCCTCGCCCACCCTGGCAGAAGGCTGGAGGTTAATTCTCAGCAGAGGTTAAAAAGGAAGGTTTCTGGCCTGAAAATACAAGGCACAGTTGAGAACCTACCAAAAGCAGTGAGATTAAGTAAACAGATGCCAACACAAATGCTCAGACCCCAGCCTTCTTTCCACACAGTTTCTGAAAAGCTGAGCGCCTTACCCTCCAGCTAAGAGATTAGAAAAGTTTTCTCTGGAGAATCCGACCAGCCTATGATGACCTAACGTGACTGACAGCAGAGATTCCCCCACTAAATCTGCCTTCTCGGTTGACAAGCTCTGTCTAAACTCTCAGACCCTCAAATCAGCCTTTTCGTTCCCCCATGTATAAATGAGTAGACAACCAAAGACTACCAGACACCTTAGAAAAACCACTAAAATAAAAAAGAGACCAAAACAGAAACAGAAAAACAAACAAAAAACCACTTGCAAGAAATACCATTCAAGGTGAATAAAACTTTTAAAACTCATTAATATTCTCAGATAGATAAGAGGAGAGAATACATCAATGAACTAAGAGCAGGATGGTATATAAAGGAGCACGCAGGATAACGACACAAGAGCCCTTGCAAATTAAAAACCCAAGCAGAAAGGAAAAGCTCACCAGAAGCACTGGAAGAGAAAGAATAAGAAATACCTCAGGAAATAAGAGGACCAGAGAATGACATGGAAAAGCGTAAAGCAAAGTTAGAGCTTGAAAATCGGTCCACAAGATCTAACATCTGAAAATGTAAAGAAAGCAAATTAAGAATTAATTCAACAACTTTTTTCAGAACTAAAGCAAAATATCTTGTAGATTCAAAGAGCTCATCAAGTACCCAACAATATTAATTAAAACACACTCACACAGACATACACCCCAAAGGATACCACTGTGAAATATCAGAACACTGGGATTAAAGAGCTGACCCTAAAATCTTCTGGAGAGATTAAAAAAAAGAAAAAAGCTACATGCAAAGGATCAGGGATCAGAATGTCTTGAGCTTCTCAACACCAATACTGAAAACTGGAGACTAAAAGAACTCAAAGGGTAGTGTCTTTAAAGCAGAAAAAGTAAAGGAGTTTTAACCTAGAATTCCTATCCAGCAGAACTATCAACCAGACGAGAGGGCTGACATGCAAAAAATTTGCCTGACTTTCTTAAGAAGCCACCAGAGGCCAAGCTCCACCCAAAGAAAGGAGTAAACCAAGAGGAAGGTGTTGTAAGAGACAGACATCAACCAGAAGAGAGAGGAAAACTCTATGACGGTGGTGAAGGAGACCACAGGGTGACAGTCCCATAACAGCCACAGAGAAAAATCAACCCAGATTAAATGAGATCAGAGAGCTCCAGGAGAAACGTCTTCAAAAAAGAAGATATTGCTAGGATTCTTCAGATAAAAAGAAGACACTGATAGAGTTTGAAGCAGAGGTAGAAACAAACACACCAAAAAGCGCCATTATCAATGATAGGAAAAACAAAAAGTATTCAGAAAAGGAAAAGTAATTGTGTTTGATGACATGATTCAGTTGTGAATAGTGTTCGCTGTCATAATACTGTAAACACTGAAGGCTGAACTAAAGAAAACTACAAGACAGGTGTAGGGAGGATGAGGGGGCGGAAGACACACGTGGGTAGTGGGGGGTGGACAGAGGGAAGAAAAAGGGCTAAACCCTCACCTGACAAAGTCAAAAGATAATACCTAAAGCTAAAAAACCTTGAAATCACAAAACCACCACAGTGTTTAGAGATAATAGAAGTAAGTTTCTTAAAACTCAGCTCAAAATGTAAATGACTACCCACATCCATGGGATTTTCACATGAGCCAATCCCCACTGCTCACTTCTATGTCCATGAAGCCAGCTCCACATTGAAGCAAATGTATACAGCATGAAATGAATCAACATAAATCCTCTACAGTCATAGGGAAAAGTCAAAGCAGGTAGTTTAATAGTCCCCTGGTAGTTACATTACCTTCAAAGTGCTGCAGTAACTATTAGCCAATAGAGAATTTTATCACTGCCTCCTCCTTATGATCTTCTTTCTCCTTCATAGGTATTCCTCTGACCACCTACCACTCAACAATAAGATTTAAAAATTAAATCATTTAATAATTATCTCTCACTCAGGAAAATAAAAACCCACAGTATATTAATAGGATACTTCATAATTACCTCCCCCTAAAATAAAAAAATAAATAATAGGATACTTCAGCTTTGTCTAGACCCACAACACCATCTGATAGGTGATACAGTCTACTTCTAATATAAAATGGTTACAACAAAAATATCTGAACAAAAGGGGCACCATAAGGAATTCAGAACTCTTTCCAAGTGCTCCTGAAATAGTCACAGGGGCTCAGCCTAAAGTATTATGACTCTCAAAACATGAAATATATTCCTTTTTAAGGATCTTGTATAGTAAAAATATTCCTAGATTATTCCTATTACCTCTTCTCCATTAGCCCAAATAACCAAGATAAAACTGAATACACCACTTTGATTGGAATTTCACCGTAAAAGCCTTTACATTTCTTAATTATGCTAAATATTAACTTCTGGCTCTTCAGATGTTTTCAATGAGAAAGTATGAGAAATTTGCAAAGTGATTTCATAAGAAAAAAAAGATTACTGTTATTTGGCCCTGCCCCTTTAATATAAACAGATGTTTACATAGCTAAGATTTAAATGACTAGAACAGTTTCCCAGACTCAGCATTTTTTACCTCTTCTTTTCTTTTTCTCTTCATTTTTATAGCTACAAAGGAAACTGTCAAGATTCATTTCTGGCTACAGACATGGGGAAGCCCAGCTCCAAATAACACAATCGTCGCACAGTTCTGAAAGCTTTTCATCGAATTTTTTTCAAAGTTCAAGTTAAAAAACAGAAGTTCATTTTCACTTTGGAAATCAAACTTGAAAGAAAAATGTGACCCCCCAGAATTTAATTCCTTCCCAAGGAACTCCTTCAGGAACATAAATTGTTAAGACATGGCTGCTTAGGGAAAACATTTTCAAGTCCTGTTTGACACGCGAAGCTACATGGAACTTGACAGGAATAATTTTTTTTAACAAGCTCAAGTCTGTCTTTTCTTTACGTGTTCAACACAATTTGAAAACATGTACTTTACCGAAAGCTTGTTGGATTCTATAAACAATTCAGATCATTTTACAGAGACTGCAGGGTGGAAGTGGGAAGGATCTTTAAGGCTTTACACGCATATTGCTTATTAAAAAACACACACACACAATCTCTGAACAGAAATCAAAGTAAATGCATGCTCATATAAAACAGAGGTAAGTAAAAGCAAATAATACTAATAATTATTATAACAAGAGGGCTTTTAAAACTGATAAAACTGTTGACCCTTATCCATTCAACTCTCCTAGAAAAAAATGTAAAAGAGCACTATAAGCAACCGCCTACTTAAACACTCAGATTTAAATGCTCTGCATACAGCTGCCAATCGCCCCACAAGAACCTGCAGGCTACTGGTGGCTTCACCTTTCCTGACCTGGCCTGGGACTCTCACCTGTAATGAGTGTCCACAGCCAAGATTCTGCTAAGCACAAGACCTAAAAACTGCTCAGTCCCATACACTCTAGCATCCTGGGAACCACCCTATCCCCTGCTTCCAAAGCTTCATACTCACATCTTGCTATCACAAAATCATTAAGTCTACTTCCCCTCCCCTACAAAAAAGGAATTTGGAGGCCTGATTTGTGCTATAGATGAAGCTAGGGTCACACAGCTTAGAGAAAGGGTTGGGAGGACAGGAAAATGTGATCTTGTATCCTGGTTTTCATTCATAATCCATTTCCCCACAGCAAATTCTCAATGTGATGATTGGGCCCTGTGGCGCTGTGGGTCTGGGTATCTCTTATTTCAGGTTGAACAGGCTTTTGGGGGTTGCCCTGTGCCTGGTCATGCTTTGGAAACATGATTTATAAGCGGAAATGTATTACAAGTTCAAAAAAACTTACAAGTTAACTTTTGTGATTTGACAAGTTTCTAAATTAGAGATTACGTGTGTAATAAAACCAACTCTGGCACTCAACAAACCGAAACTAACTAACCTGATTTTATCTGATCTCAATTTGAAAAGAGGAAAATGACATCAAAACAAACACATCAAAATGTAATCAAAACATCAGTTTTAGAGAACATGCTAAATGAAGTTAATCCAATATTCCAGACCTTCAGAAATGAATTATTGTGATATCCAAAACAATGATCCTGAGTCTCACAATTAACTCAATTATCAAATCTAACTATCAACTACCTAGAAGACCCAATCAACCAGGACACAAGCATGCTCATTAAGAAACTTTACACTATTAGAGTTCAATCAAATAATCAAGTCCAATCCTTCATTCCAATGTTAAACCTAGTCCTTTATTCCAACATCTTAACTTTACACTTAAATTTTAAAATACACTTAGAAAAAAGAAGTAAAAAGATGTTTTTTAAAAATCAGTAAAAGCTATTTGAAAGTATCCATCAGCCAATATTTATTGTTCATTATGGGCCCAGCACTGTTCTATATATCTTCTTTTATCTGCCACAACAACCATTAACACAATGCCCATTTTACCAAGGAGAAAAAACATAAGCACAGAGAGGTTAAGTAATTTACTCAAGGTGACACAGTCTGTCTCTTTACTATGCTCTGCAGCCATTGTCAAACTGCTTCAATTATCTTTTACTTCCCCAAATTATAGTGGATTATGTTGTACCAACAGCTAATTTATGGACAGATTACCGAAACAAGAAAGTAATCATGGGGAGGGTATAGCTGAGTGACAGAGTGCTTGCCTAGCATGAACAAGGTCCTGGATTAATTTCCCAGTAACTCCATTATAAATAAATAAATAAATAAACCTAATTAACCCCCCCAAAAAAAACAAAATAAAAAGAAAATAATCAACTGAAAAGCTGAATTATATTGGGTAAAGCAAAATAGGATTCCATTACCAGCAACAGAAAACCAACTACTCAATATGTTCATGTTTGTATATTTTTCTCATG